ATATATTCCTTCTCTTCTTTATATATGCCTTCCTTTCTTTATAAATTCCTTCTCTTCTTTATATCTTCCTTCTCTTCTTTATATATTCCTTCTCTTCTATATATCTTCCTTCTCTTCTTCATATATTCCTTCTCTTCTTTAAATCTTCCTTCTCTTCTTTATAAATTCCTTCTCTTCTTTATATCTTCCTTCTCTTCTTTATATATTCCTTCTCTTCTATATATCTTCCTTCTCTTCTTTAAATATTATTTCTCTTCTTCATATATTCCTTCTCTTCTTTATATATGCCTTCCTTTCTTTATAAATTCCTTCTCTTCTTTATATCTTCCTTCTCTTCTTTATATATTCCTTCTCTTCTATATATCTTCCTTCTCTTCTTTATATCCTCCTTCTCTTCTTTATATATTTATTCTCTTCTTTACATCTTCCTTCTTTTCTATATATCTTCCTTCTCTTCTTTATATCTTCCTTCTCTTCTATATATCTTCCTTCTCTTCTTAATATATTCCTTCTCTTCTATATATCTTCCTTCTCTTCTTTATATATTCCTTCTCTTCTATATATCTTCCTTCTCTTCTTTATATATTCCTTCTCTTCTTTATATCTTCCTTCTCTTCTATATATCTTCCTTTTCTTTTTTATATCTTCCTTCTTTTCTTTATATATTTATTCTCGCCTTTATATCTTCCTTCTCTTCTTTATATCTTCCTTCTCTTCTTTATATATTTATTCTCTTCTTTATATATTTATTCTCTTCTTTATATCTTCCTTCTCTTCTTTAAATATTTATTCTCTTCTTTATATCTTCTTTCATTTCTATATATATATCTTCCTTCTCTTCTTTATATCTTCCTTCTCTTCTTTATATCTTCCATCTCTTCTTTATATCTTCCTTCTCTTCTTAATATCTTCCTTCTCTTCTCTATATCTTCCTTATCTTCTCCTATTAATCTCTCTGCTCCTATTAATCTCCTACTTCTCCTTAATCTCTTACTTCTCCTTAATCTCCTTTTCTTCTTTTCTATCTTCCTTTCATTTTCCCATGCTGTCCTTTATTTTTTTCCTACTCCCCTTTCCTTAACTCCCTAATGATTCTCCCCCTCCCCCCTCATTTCCCGGGGTTGGAAAAAAATGAGCGTGATCCTTAAAATAAAATGAGAATAGTCTCTTTATTTTTGTGTATGTTGCTGGGGCTGTGGTTGATGGTCATGGTTGGTAGAGCTTCCACCTGACAGTTGTTTACTGGACACGGAACTCTTCACAATAATGGCAATACGGAAACATAATTGTCGTCTTACATTAGCTCCGGAAGATTTGTACTTTCCTAAAATAAATTTTATAAATATCCTAATTGTCTACCTAAACTCCTTCTCCCCCCCCCCTGCTCCTTGTGAGCCCGTGTATAAATATCCTAATTGTCTACCTAAACTCCTAAACTTTGATCTAAAGCAAAAAGGTTAAAATGTCATTGCTTCACTTAGTTTCCTTTAATTAAACACTGTATCAATGATTTATAATGATATTCTTAGTTTAGTGCACTGCAGATCACCATTAGGATATATCGCACCGAAAGCATAGTTGAAAACTATAAATCCTTTCTCTCTGAAAATTGACAAGTTGCCCTTTAAACCTTCGTCTCTGTGAATCGCTCGGTCAAGTAACTCTTCAAAAAATGGGTCACCTTGAAGCACAAGAAAAATTAAGTTCTTAAGTTTAAGTTATCCCAACTAATAATCATAATTAAAAAAGTTTTAATTAAAGGGACAGACCGGCTATGTAAGGTAATTGAACTGAGTATGCAGTGTTTTTGACAAACTCTTCAGGATTTGTTTCAGACCTATACAACTTTTCCACGCCGCGCATGTATAATTACTGAGTTTGAGTGCAAAGTCGACGTTCAAAATCATAAATTTGGGTGGGTACGTTTTCAAATCGGGGTTTTTAAAATTATTAAATAACGACGACGAAAAATAAAGCAAAAATTATACAAAAAACTAATTAGATGGTTAGGAACATATTTCTCAAAAGAAATTTGTCAATAAATCAATTATTTCATTTTCTTCATTATATTGAATTTCTTATTTTCTATGAATTTATTCGCAGATTTCTACAAATTCTTCAAATGTCTTCTTTTCAATATTAATTCTGGAAAATTGTATCCAGTATCCACTCAAAAGTACGATTTTGAACGTCGACTTTGCGCTCAAACTCAGGATTTACAGATCTTTTAAAAGTTAATAAAAGTTAATCCGAAAGAATTTGTCCACAACACTGCACACTCAGTTCAACTACCTTACATAGCCGGTCTGTCCCTTTAAAGGGTCATTTATAATTGAGTTGGCCATTCCTCCAGGGTAAAATATTCTTACATAATTTCCATGATAAAAATGTATTATATAGATACCTTTACTATACATTCTACAATTCCTTAGATGAAATTTAAATTAAGAGATTTTTTAAGCAAAACTATTTTCCCTCTAAAATTTGCGAGACAATGATTGCATATAAATTTTGCACTCGAATTGTTGACCTGATTACGGGAAGGGGGAGGGGTAGTCTCATGAGGGAGGAATTCGGGGAGGGGGGGGGAATGAGAATTATACGTTATTCTTTTTTTAAGTCGTGTTTGGTGAATTGGAGTATTAAACATTCGAACAACAGGGTGTTAATTTGCCGTGTTTTAAACTTTTTTTCCTTTCTAAACTTGAGATTTTGTTGATAAATTTCACAAATTGTTAAGAAAAAAATGATCGAATTACTATTTTGCCCTTGATTGTATTGTAGAGGATAATGAACAAGCAGTGGCTTGATTGTGCCTGAAAACAGCTGATCAAATTATGTTGACTGTTCACAGCTTGTATACACAGCACACATAAACCTATTGTTTTCTAAATTATTCTTTTACAGTTTGTTAAAAAAAAAACACACACAATTATTTGTTGATAATTTCTACATTTTCTAACGTTTTAAGTTATAAATTCATGTTGCAAAACTTCAGACTATAAGCGTAATTTCAAGTGAAAGTTCATGCCATCATGCCGAGATGACATTAACGATTCACAATGTTACGCTTGAAAGCTTTGTCTGATAAAGCATGAATTAGATATTCATTAAAATTTGAAAATCCGATGATTTGCAATTGTGGGTTTTCTACAAAAGTGGCTTGTGCAGTGAATTTCTACTTGGCAGGGAGAAATATAGTAAAAAAAACGACAATATCTTCCACATTTTTGATCACATAAAGTTTTGTTTTGTACCGTTTTGATTTCTAAATGGCGCTTCACTTGAAATTACGTGTACTGTCCCTTTAAAGGACTGTCGTATCTTAAATTACCCTAAACTCAAAGTTACATACCCAGCTTTTAAACCTTTATCAGAGCAGTTATACAGGAGATATTCTTGTTCTTCTGTCCAAAAATTCTTTGAAATTTGTGTTTTTTTTTTACAGCAGAGACAAGTAAGGAAATTGACAGAATTTATCGAACTTTTAAGCAATAGGAAAACGACCTTTTCTTCCTCGTTGTTACATAAATAGAGTCAATAGCTCTGTAACTCATAATGCATCTTAAGGCAATGTGAAAATACGCCAACGCTTATTATCTAGTGGTGTTTTATTAGAATTTCAAAACTTTCTGACTAAAATTTGCAACGTTTTTTTCCCCGATAAATTATGAAATCCACCAATAGAAACAGAAAAAATCCTCGAAACATGTTGTACGATGAGATAAGAAAATGGCGGGTTAAATGAGTCCTTAAAGGGAGTGTTTGCGAAAAATGAAAGCCTAGTTAAGATATTAATGGTTTGCATTTTACGTTTTTAGATTGTCTAAAATGTTTTAATAAAAATTAATCCTGGGGACTGTTTCTAGCATAGCACTGGAATCCAGTGGTAAGTTCACTCATTTCATTAATTTTAAAATATGTTGGAAGGGGGGGGGGGGTTGTATATACTGGGG